GATAGCGCCTTAGCCAAACTGTGAAAAACACCTTTCCAGCAGCGGAAGCGAACGTACTACGAACTAACACGTGGCTTGTCGTACTAGCTTATGCCTTTAAAATAAAGGATCAGAACACTCGGCGATAAAATCGAATAATGGGCAAACCTCGATATCATCCGAAAATTGTTTCCAGGTGTCAGTTTCCAGCTTTTTTGTCTCTCGGGCAGTCGCCTTGGCCTTTTTCATGCATTTTTGTGCTCTGACAAGCCGCTCCTCCAGGCTTTTCAGTTCCTTTTCCTGGAGTTCAATCTTTTCCAACAACACTTTCTCTGCAATATTTGTCTTCGCCAATTCGGCCTCCAAAGTAGCGCTCGACTCTACGAACTCCTAGACAAAAGGATGATCCATTAAAATTGGATTTAGAGAAAAATAAAAAGTCAGAAATTAGTTTTGTAGGCCCAAAGTTAGTGGAACACAATGACGCCTATACTGCAGGAGGAATATAAAAATTCATTTTACCAGTAGGGCAGGTAGACATGAAAATTAACAGAATCTGCGGACAGCATTGACAAAACTCGCATTTTAGAATAATTATTTCTATTATTCCAACGAGGTGCCACCACCGACCCCAGCACTAACCATAATCTTCAGCCTAACTCAAAAACTCAAAACTAACACTAAGTCCAATCCTAACCCAAAGCTGTAACCCGAAATTCACATACTAACCGTAAAACCCGACCCTCAACCCAAATCCTAATCGTAACCCTAAACGCGATATCATGGATCAAACTCAGCGAAATATGCCTATCTAAATGAAATAAGTAGCTATTTTATAGAATTTAAAACATTCACCTGTATATTATGTCAGTTCTGATTAATAAACCTTCGAACGCACTTAGTCAGCTTCATTTACACAAATTAAAAAAAATCGTGCGGGCAATTGTTGAACCTTTGAGTACACGTTCTTTTGACCCAACTCCTGATATATTTACACTGGTCGAGTATCAACCGTAACCCTTTTTACCTGCAAGTAAAAGCCTTAAACTTGGTAATGAAAAGGTTCATGAGAAGTGGCATGCACAATATTACACTTCTGCTTGCAGATAATGATTTTCTCCACATTCGTTCTAGTAAACGAAAATCAGTACATAATGTATGGTAGCCGCTAAAGACACATACATTGCATTTGCTCCTTAGTTCCGTATTGTATCGCCTTTTCGTAGCTCCTGTAAGCAGAGTCATTTTAAGGGTTTCCTCCAGTTCGCGCTTCAAATTGGCGAGTTCTGAATCTTCAGGAACTTCCGAATGAGACTGGCAGTAGTTTCGATTGCACCCATTCATGATATTCACCGTGTTCTCCAGAGCCTCCAATTCCTTGACACCCCGCGCAATATCCCTATCTAGCTGGTCACCTTGCGTTTTCATTGCGTTTCGCTGCTGAGCAGCCTATTGGACAGGGAGAATAAAATAGGCTGAGATTTGTTTCAAAAGGAGCAAGGGGATTTAGCGTTCCTATAAAGATTCACAACTGAAAAATTTTTATACTAGTGAGAAATTCGGACAGCATTAGGTCAGCCTGAGATTCTGCAATCAATTGAGACTGCTGGTTACGTTTGGCGGCGCTACCGGCCTTAGCCGTTTCCGGTGGAACAGTTGCATACAATAAAACTGCCTCATCCTTCTGAACCTTCACATAAAACCATTAAACTTTGGTAGAAAATTGACTGGTCCATTATTTAGAAGATATTTTGTGCTGTGTAACGCTGTAGGCATACTCGTTAGGCCGTTTCAACAATGACTTCCAAAAAAGTCCTTTATTAAGTTCAGAGTGAACGATAATTTAAGAAAATTGTGGAAGAATCAATCAATGAATAGTATCATATATATACAATTAGATTTGACTGCCCAACCTTACACAGGCCCTGATGATTTCAAGTGACCACAAATGTCTAACCCCCGCATGTTAACAGATCCCACATAATAGGAAATGCTTACCTGGATTATGTAATAGGCCTGCGATTGGGCCTCTTCCCCTTCCGGAGGTGCCATTTTTGCCGACGCAATTTCAAACCTTTTGAAATAAAAGACTTAAATTAGCTACATCTGGCACAAAAAGAGTCTTTCTACCATTCAAAAAAATTCTAGGTCATTCCGAATGCTGGTTATAGCGTTTTTTAATAAGGAATTTGCCTTTCTTTTCCATTACATATAATTTGACTTCAAGGATGCAACAGTATGTTAGCTCGGTAGTTGTTAATCTACCATGCGCACCTTTCTCCCTATCTTTGTTTATTTGAATGGAAAATGATTCCGGTAAAATATACATGGGACAATTGGAGTGTAGAAAGCTCAAATTGCAGAATATTTGATTGTACGTCGTTTGCCTTAACAACAACGGGTTGGGACACAAAAAATATAAGCAAAATATACGCGCATACGCTCGGTCAGCAAAAATCTTTTTTGCGCTTTAACAAAGCCCCTTTTTAAATGGGTAACTTTATCTCGGTAATATGATGTGAATAACGTCCGCCTTCGTTGGCCAAAGCAATTGCTTTAAATCAGTCTGCAATATTTTCTATTGCAGCACAGCCATGCACAAAGAAGACCATTATGTTAATTCTAAACATCCCTGTCCAGAAAGGGAAAATTAGTATAGCGGTGCTGCAGCCCACCTCCTCCAAACGCGAGATGCCACAGACATGGTCTCGCGAAACAATCTTGGCCGCCCAGTCGCTCGACCCAACGCGATGGCCGATGTCCACATGCGGGGCGTAACCTTTGCCTTCGGGCGGCTGGGGCGCACACACGCACCCCATACTGGCCGGGCCAATA